AAACATGTAGTGTCTGTCATGGCGGCTCTGTTATGTTTTTTTGTATTTCCACCTTAAGTTGAAGTCGTTGACTTGCACAGCTCGACGTTCATGATCCGTTTTGATAGTTTGATCATCTCCGTTTGTTTTCTTGTCTTGTTGGTGGAGAGCGGTCCGAAGCTTTGACGAAGTTTGTGATATTTTACATTCATGAAAAAAACACTTTGACCCTATCATCAAGTTACAGAACCTCTCATACTGGACTCTGTCAGGGTTCTTTTTACTGTGCTACAGATGACTCTTTCACACAACACGCTCATCAGATTTCTATTAGAAGGATTTGTTGTTTTGGGAAACAACCAGTATGGTGGATGGTGACCCATGGATCGTGTCATTCGTCGATTAAGGGAATTGGTTCCGTCCAGTTCTTCGCATTTCTGTCTTAAACCAATCACTGCTTCTGAGGACTTTTTCTCCTGGTTTCTATCACGTTTCTATCCCTCCACACGTGAAGCTCGTCTTTCTGCTTTTGGACAGAACTGGATCTAACAGAGTTAAAAGTCTCTTGGAGATGTTTTGAGTGGTTTGCTGTTAATCTAAAAGTTTTTTATTCAGACTCTAACTAGGAAAAGTTGACTGATGTAGAAAATATGACGTGAATATCTAAGGTTATAAAACTAGAACATCACTTCAGCGATGTCAGGGTCTACTGTTTTCAGTTGTTAATTAATTAATTGTGTCGATCAAGTGTTGAAAATCAACTGCTTTTTGGATAGGTCTAGGATTTACAAGAGACAAAAGATAAGAGATAAGACAACACTTGTTGTTTTTGTTTTACATTACAAGCTCAGAATTCCTCACATTACAATCAAACCTTTTTTTTTTTTTTAAATGAAAATTTTTTCTCGGAACAGAAAACAAACTTGTGAAAAAGAAGTTAAGAGAGTCTCTTGTTTCTACTCAGGTTCAGATTTTTCTTTGGTTTATGCGTCGCTAGTTGTCTGTGGTATAAGAACACTGTCGAGGGTTTCTCTGATTGGCTCAAGAACAGCTCGGTAACTGTGGGAACATTGATACCACTGTGTGTGTATAAGAGAGTGTGTGAGTGTGTGTGTGTGTGTGTGTGTGTGTGTGTGTGTGTGTGTGTGTGTGTGTGTGTGTGTGTGTGTGTGTGTGTGTGTGTGTGTGTGTGTGTGTGTGTTACAGACTGCAGGAAGTGAGGTTGTTATTGTGTCTCTCTACATTCCTCAGGCTTGAACACACTATGCACCTGTTCCTGTCTGTCTGAAACACACACACACACACACACACACACACACACAACACACACACACACACACACACACACACACACACACACACACACACACACACATTCTTACATAAAAACACACACTCACATACACACAAATCACAGTCTTTCGTCACCAGTCTTAACAACACATTCAATGGGAAAATATGGCTGTCACGGCATGAGGCATAAATCTTAATAATTTCAGCGGGAACAACACAAGCATGTGTGTGTGTAAGGTTGTGTGTGTGAGTGTGTGTGTGTGGGGTTGTGTGTATCTTGTTGTACAGGCTTTGGGTCAATAAATGTGGTTTTATCATCAGCTCACAAAGTTAGTTCTCAGAGGGGAAGAGGAGGAGGAGGAAGTTCAGGGGATTGTAGTTAGCCTTAATGACATTTACAGACACTGCCTTCAGTGTGTGTGTGCGTCAGTGTGTGTGTGGGTGTGTGTGTGTGTGTGTGTGTGTGTGTGTGTGTGCGCGCGTCAGTGTGTGTGCATGAGAAAGTGCAGCAAGTAGAGGATTCAGATGCTTCTTGAACTCCTGCAAGGTGCATTGTGGGAAGGAACAAACCTTCTCCCGCTAATTAGCTTCTCTTAGCACAGTACATCTGTTCACTTGAGTTGTGTGTCTGCAAGTTGTGAGTATGTGTTTGTGTGTGTCCACAAGGTTATGTTGGTGGGTGGGTGGGTGGCTTGTTTCCTTATCTCAGTCTTCATTCCCACAGTTCCCAGAGTCCCCTGCTCCTCGGAAGCCGCAAAGCCTTGGTGCGCTTCTCGCTGTCTTTCCACTACGAGTCGTTTAATAAAAGTAACACGTTCGTCTCAAGGTTGGATAAAAATCTTTAAGTTGTCAAACTCACTCAGTGTAAAGCAGTTGAAGAACATATTTAGATTGCATTTAACACTCAATAAAGCTCTATGAATGTTTATTCATTATTAGTCATTGGAAGCCTGATTATTAAGACCAAGCAGCACAGTGGCTCATTGGCTGAATGAATGGTTTCTAGAAAATCAAGTCAGGGTTTAGTTTTAATTGCAAATCTGTCCATTGCTACATCATCAGGGAAAAAAAACCCCTGATAATTCATAATATAAAGTTTAGTTTTCATCTGGCTTCTGGCTTCTGCATTTTTTCTCGCATAAATAACAATTAATAAGTACAATTGCAATTTCTTCTCAAGGTTTAAGGTCCATGCCTTTTATTAAACTGAAATACATTTATTATTATTCTCTTCATTGGCTTAAAGGGATAGTTTGGATCTTTTTGAAGTGGGGTTGTATGAGGTACTTGTCAACAGTAAGTGTATAAGCCACAGGAGATCCCTACCACGATGGGGCCTTCATTGGGGAACCAGCCAGAGTGCCGACACAGAAGCTAGGCTATTTCTGCAGAGGGGGCGATGTGGGCGTCAAATTTCAATCAGTAAATCAATCAATCAATCATTATTTGTAAAGCGGCAATTCATAACAAGTGCTTTGTCGAGACCCTTTGCAAAAGAGCATATGGGATAATATGGAGGAAGGATTTCTCCTTTGTATTCCTCACGTTCTTGTTGTCCACACTTCCTTGCTTCTGAGGTGGAGGTCGTCTCAGGCCGTGCAAGAATGAGGACGGCGGTGGTTGTGGGGACGACACAGTCCGATGGTGATGGCTGGGCACCAGGGACGTTATATTGTAACACGTTTTCAGAAAAAAATATTTAAAAAAATGATGACAGTGTATCTGCTACATTTCAAAAAATGTTCAGTGCTTTACTCTGCCAGGCAGCAAGCCCCTTTGTTTTAGTACTACTTCAAGACTTCATGACACATTTGTATTCCTCCACCTGCAGCACACTGATCAGCTGGTCAAGTGCTGCAGAAAAAAAAGGAAAAACTACTTGTGTTTCACTTTTAGAGCCTTTAAGATTCCTTAAGGCTGTGGCTCAGTGGTAGAGTCAGTTGTCTCCGAAGGGGGGTTCCACTCCCAGCTCCTTCAGTCACATGTTGAAGTGTCCCTTGGGCAACACGCTGAACCTCAGGTTGCTCCCGCTGCTACACCAGCAGCAAGTGAATGGAGTAGATGATGGGCAGCTGGGCACATTGTGTAGCAGTGTCTGCCATAAGTTTGAGAATGTGCGTGTGAATGGCTGAATGGGACATGTAGTGTAAAAGCCCTTTGAGTGGTCAGAAGATTAGAAAAACATTAAACATGTCAATTTACCATCTGTAATGTGAAAACATGTCCTGAGGACAACAACCTTTAAGAGGCTGATGCGAAGGGAATAAGTGGCAGATTGTCTCCTCAAGAAGCTTTCAATAAGCACGCTGTTAGCTTCAGAGGCTTTCTGTTTGACTGAAAGCGTTTTAGGCTGTTTTTCTGTTTTTAATAATTTCTCTCAGGGAGTGTGGGAAGTGGGATGATGTTTTTTTATGATGCCCCCAAGTGTTTCTTTTTTCATCTTTTCTTTTGTTCCTTCTGTCTGTGTTTTATCATCGGATTTTGTTCTACCACATCTGTGCTCCATGTGTATGCAAATACTCTAAAAGTTAACAAAGCGGCCCATGTCTCTCTGTTTCTGAGGGGATGGAGGTAGATTAGGTGTAGCTGTGGAGCTGGGTTTTTATTCTGATGTGAGTCAGTGGGAGATAGGAGGGGGGGGAGAAGAACGCTCTGAACAGCTGTTACAGGGTTTGCGTCATGCAGCGAGAGCTAGCGTCATGGCTGAGTGTTCGCACGCTATACACACACACACTCACACACAAACATGCAGAGGCATGCTGTGGGGACCCCCAGTCAAAGGCATGACCAAACACAGGCATTGTGTTCTTGTGCAGCCGCTGTGTTGCTGAGGAGGAGTGTCACCTGTTTTCAGTGACGACAGGCTGCTGGTTCTGTAGCAGGCTCATGTTTTACTGCAGGAGTGCTGCGCCGCCGCTGCTGAGACGAGATGCTCAGGAAGTCACTGCTTTGTTGTTTGCAGTCATCAAAGTAGCCTGATGAGTGAGAGGACAGTGTGTGTGTGTTACATACAGTGGGAATTCAAGTTTATTTATCTTTTTAAACAAAAAAAGTTGTTAGAAAAGCTTAAACCATCTAAAAAGTTGAAAATTAAAGTAATTTGTGCAATGACTGTCGAAAATCAAAACAAATTTTTCTTCCTGGTTCTGTAATTTTAATCACAATTAATGTATCTCTCAATTATTTCAACGATTTCTTTAATCAAGTATTGAACAGCTTTTAAATAATCTGAATAACCTGTTAAAACTACAATATAAAAAAATGCAAACATTACGATTTCTTTTATATTTTCTTCATATTCAAAATAACCATTATGTAAAATTTGGGGTGCCGGTGAACAAATGGTTAGGGAGCACGCCCCATGTACAAAGGCTATAGTCCTCAAATTGGGCGGCCCTGGTTCAAATCCGACCCTTGGCTCCTTTCCCGTTTGTCATTCCCTACTCTCTCTCTCTCTCTCCCTGATCTCTGACTCCACTGTCCTATCTCTACAATAAAGTCGTAAAAAATTTAATTTCAAGATTAATTTCTACACCATTAACAGTAAAAAAAAAAAGTCAGTAAAGCTTTAAATGTTTAAATTCAAGAAAGCTTTACAGATAAAACATACAGCATGTTCCATAAACCTTTTTAAAGAGTGTAAGATGAGTCAAATATATGTCTTTGTTTTGGAAGAAAACATCATATAAAAGGTCTGAAGCTCATTTTGAAGATACTTTTTCAACACAATGAACGTGAGAGGAAATGATGTCTGTCTGGAGCTGCTTCCTGCTGAGCCTCGGAGAGGGAAATGACCGAATGGAAGCGTTTTGCCTCTTGACTTTGTGGCTGTGCGATCGTGACGAGAACAAGTTGTGTTTTGTTGTGAGTGCAGATTCCTGAAATGACTTTTGTGTGTCTGTGTTTGTGTTGCAGGTGTATGCTCCGTCTGCCAGCACAGCCGACTACAACAGGGACTCACCGGGCTACCCCTCCTCCAAACCCCCAAGCTCCAGCTTCCCAAGCTCGTTCTTCATGCCAGGTACACACACACACACGCGCGCGCACACACACGCTCATACTAGAAACTGAACAATCGATTGCAGACACAACACAGCTTGAGATCTCTTAGCTGAAAAATGTTGTCAGACCAAAATCATCAATAGTTCTAATTTGTAAATTAGTTTTTTAAGAGCAACAACACATGCTTGGCAGATAAAAGAGGACATCCTTGAGGGTAGTTTGCAAATTACAATGTTATTATCCAATAAACGAACACAGGCATGGATGGAAACTTTTGCATCCGCAAGTTTGTTTGCTGTCAAAAGTTGTGAAGCAGAAATGATTGAGGTGTCGTGTGACATAAGAAGTTGCATGTTGACCACAAACACTGAATTAGACAGAATGTTACACTCTTTTTCCTCCTCCATCTGCGTGTATTCATGTTAAGTACAAACTTCTATCGTTTCAGACTTTTATAAAAGGAACAAATAGTCCCAGTCTACAGTATTAAAAACAACTCAAAGAGCAGAGAAAAGAGCATAATTAATTTAACAAGGCTTCGGAGAATCACAGCATCTGCAGGCAGTGTGAAATTGGTTTGTCAAACATTGATCTTTATTTATTTAGAATACTATGACACTAGTATTCAAAGTTTTGATGGAGGTGGGCACAAAGGAGAACTTTTATGAGTTGCATTGGGGAAATTTAAACCCAGCATATGAACTGGATGGTTAGAAAACATATAAAGCTCTGTTTTGTTTTACTGTACATCTCATGTACCTCTCTCTCTCTGTCCCCCTATGTGGTCTCTCTATCAGACGGTCACCACAGCGGCGACCCCTGGAGCAGCAGTAGTAGCAGTATGAGTCAGCAGGGTTACCATGGCAGCATGCTGGGGGCCGGGAACTCTGCCCACGGACCCTCCCAGAGCTCCTCCTACTGCGGGATTCACCCTCACGACAGATTGGTGAGCAGATCTGTCAATCACACCGTACACAATATATGCTCTCATACTATATCCTTTGACCACATAGAGAAAAATGTTATACCTTTTGTTTTTGCACGGTATTATAGATCAGAAAGTGTGTTATTATGGTATGCATGTAAATTGTACAGTATTAAAAGCAAGTTGTAGCTGACAAAGGGCCTGATTTGGTGTAGGCGCTGAGCAGTATATCACAGTGTCATCAGCATAAAAATGGAAATTTGCATTAATAACATTTTGATCAAGACTGTTGATGTATAAAATGAAGAGTAGTGGTCCTAGGACTAATCCCTGGGGCACACCTTTGGATACTACAAGGGAGATAGAAGTGATGCCTTCTGCCAGCATGCACTGAGATCTGCCAGATAGGTAGCTTTGATAGTCCGACACTAATCAGTCTTTGCTTAAGTATTGCATGATCCACGGTATCAAAAGACTTATAATCAATAAATAGGGCTGCACATTGATGCTTGTTGTCTAAAAATTCTATAAAATAATTTACTACTTTTAAGGCTGCTGTAGTTGTGCTGTGTTTTTTCCTAAAACCTGACTGAAAATCAGTGAAGATATTGTTTGAAAGTAGGACATATTTCAGTAAGAGACATGACATCATTGTTTGGATAATTCTGTTCAAATAGAATATATGCAGGTGCAAAACTTGTATAATTTACATGACCTTGTAGGCATATAAAAAGTTTGAAGAAATTCCAAAACACTACGTGGCAGTAAGCAAAACTACCAATATATTTCTGTTTCAGATGAAGTCATCAAACGCCTTTGCACAAGAATATCACACTTGTGCATAGCCTGTCTCAGAAAGTAGAAATTGTACCTATCATATGACTTCTGTATTGTTGAGGAATATATTCTAAATGTGTTGATGTCAAGAACAGTTTCAGAGCTAAATGTGTAGTGGGTAAATCTATCAAAATGGTTTATATTCATTTTTAAAACTGTTAGAGTTTTATCTTGTTCGTCGGTCTTTCTGCAGAGCTACCCGTCACATTCGTCTGCAGACATCAGTTCCAGCCTTCCTCCCATGTCCAGCTTCCACAGAAGCGGCGGAAGTGGGGGCGGGGGCAATCACTACAGCACCGCCTCGTGCACGGCCTCCACCAACGGCACAGACAGCAGCATTATGGGTAAGTCACCTGTGTGTATATTTATTTGATATAAAGAGATTTTTATATCAAGTTAGAATTGAATGTATGAAAGGAGTGGACCTGGCCTCTTGGATATAAAAGTGAACCTAATGGAAATAGTCCCTCAGTATGGTCAGCAAGGGGGAGACTCCACTGGTTTCCACAAATTAACACTAAAACTCTCAGTTGATTTGATACTTCTGCGAACATTTTCTTTATAATGGATTCAATTGGTAGTTTAATTTTTTTTTGATGCACCATGATTTTCCTCTTGTAAATCAGGGTCCCATTTTATGTAAAATATACGACAAAGCGGGGTCTGAAGTCGTGGCAATGTGGATACATGCTCTCGTCCAAATAAATTATTATTTTCTGTCCTCAAAAAGAACATGATGGTGACAGCCACCAATCTAAACTTGAAGCTTAATGATGATAGTCGACAAACCAGTGGAAAACCTTTCCGTGGCTGTGTCCATTTCTTCTATACAGTCTGTGGCTAAAGTCAGGGCGTTAGCTTTTTTTATTGTTAACATTTTAGCATTCTGGCATTAGTATTTGGCTTAGCAGGCTACTGCCTCATTGAGCTGCTAGCATAAGTTGTGCTAGCAGGGTCAAAGTAAAGGCTTGTCTTCATCTGTTGATGGTCGGTCGCCATTCACAGATGTGAGGTCATTGTTTAGAAGCATGTTTTATTGGAGGAATGAACCAATTTTAAGAGGATTTTGCTGTAGACTTCTGACTTTCAGACTTTTGACTAGACTCTGGACTTGGACTTCACATTGAGACTGACCTTACTCGACTCTCCAATGCCTATAGCTTTGACATTTCTCTGAAAAGCAAAACACATTCAAGTCTCAACTCTTGACCTGTTAAAAACAGAACTCAAACACCTGCAGCTTTACTTGACAATATAGCCTCAATGACAGACACAAGACCTCCCCTTAAGACTGTAACACGCTCTGCTGTTTGTAAGTATTATGATAAACCATCTGCAGCAACTTTAACCTGTTGTTTGTGGGCTGACATGCTTATTTTAGAGTTACTGATGTTTTCATCTCTGCGTCATATTTGCTGTGTTTGTGTTTTGATGATAAACTCAGAGTTACAGCTTTAGTAACAACCATCATAGACCACGTTAAAATGTACCACCACTTAACTCGCTCTAGCTGCCCCTGCTGAGTTTAGACCAGGATAACTTAAAAACGTTACTGTCAGGGGAGAATACAGCCAGTGAGAAATGGAATATATCAGCTTGACCTTGACATTACTGACACACACGGATACACACAGAAACACGCACAGCATGCCATATGGACCCCTTGCTTTGAGTCTCAAAGCAACAAATAGGACAGCAATAAGAAACAGATTGAAAGTTTGTTTTCATGGGAAGACATCTCCAACATTCCTAAAGATATAACACACACAAACACATATTAACACACGCGCGCGAACGCACACACACACACACACACACACACACACACACACACACACACACAAGTCAGACCAGATGAGTGTAAACACAAGATGAAAACTAATAAAAAACATGTCTCTGTTGTTGAAGTACAAACATATGATCCACGTGTGTGTGCACACATGTACAGACGTGCAGAGTTTGCAGACATTTCTCTGCCTTCCCCGGCCTTTGTTTCAAATAATTCACTGACTTAGTCATCCTAACCTATGGTTCAACAAAAGCCGTGACATTATGAGATTTTCATTATTTAGTACCCATATTCATTTAATTGGGGAAGATTAAAGGTACTCTGAAATAGATGCTAATGAAGTGATTCTTGAGCCAGCTTTCTTATGCTGAATATGTCAGTGCATTATAACAAACAAAAAACTAGTGTGGATCAATGCCTGCTCAGCTGTGATGTTCTGCAGACCATGCTGAGAGTGTTTATTAACTATGGAGTTTGAGTGTGTTCTGCTGAACAACCTGCATCTCTTAATTATTCTAAGCTTTAATTTCATGCAGTTTCTGGTTAATAAAAAAAATCCTTATCAGAGCATGTCAGAAAACATAAACCCAAATGCAGCCATGATAGTCCAATAATGAGCCCTCACTGTTGGAAAGATATTTGTTGAGTGGGCTCCAATTACAGTTGAAATTAACGATAAGCAGTCATGTTATAAAAAGTACAGTTATGGCCAATTTCTTGTACATACACTGCCCTAAGACGACGTGTTATTGTTTACATAAAAATGTCTTCATGTGCACAAGAAGTTAGTGTAAAATATGTCCACATAAGCTTCTGAAACTTCCTGCTTCAAAATCCACCCGGTAACTTTAACTGCATTGAACTCATGGAAACTCTGTGTGTCACTGAACGTATCATTATCTTCATTAGCTAAAACACATACTCACACATAAGCTCCCAATGACATGAAGCTTTAAAGTACTCAAACCAATGCTTTTACCTGATAGAACAATATACAAAGCATATACTATAACGGGGGAAAAAACACACAAAAATAAATGCATGAAAGAAACATGATAGTATGTTTTTACGTAACATGAAAAACAATTGTGCTGCTGAATTAAATGAGCAGACTCTCAAAGGACAAACATCAAAACCATCTTCATCTTCATCTTCATCCTCCTCTGCAGCTATAAGCTCTCATTTATGAAAAAGATTTTCTCCTGCACATGTTCTAAATTATGCATCGAGAAGTCAGGATACAAGTCAGAGTGTGTGTGTGTGTGTGTGTGTGTGTGTGTGTGTGTGTGTGTGTGTGTGTGTGTGTGTGTGTGTGTGTGTAATCCCTTGGATGGTTTACTAGGCCAGTGGTATGGCGTGAGTGAGACATGAGGCTTTAACCCCAAAACATATGCTGCTTCCTGTCTCTCTCTCTCTCTCGCCCTCTCTCTCCCCCCTTCCTCTAACACCTTAAAGAAGTCCGGTCTTGCCAATTTCTGTAATGAGTCATTTACCATGAGAGGATGTGTTTTTAAAGCGTTGTGTGTATGTGTGTGTTTTTGTCGGTCTGTGTTAGTGTGTGTGTGTGTGTGTGTGTGTCACGTGTCCGTGTCTAACTTGTGTGTGCGAGCGTAAACTTTCCATCTGGGAACTGCTATCAGGAGAGATGAGCTGTGAGCATGTCAGTGTGTGTGTGTGTGTGTGTGTGTGTGTGTGTGTGTGTGTGGGCGCTCATCTGGTCCTGTGAGGTCACTTCCTTCCTCTCTGGCCTCTGTCCCCTTCAAGTGTGTGAAACAGAGTTAGATGTTTTGAAGTTTTACTTTGAACACACACACGCATTTTATCAGTTGAATTGATTTAGAAATTGGTAACTGTTGGGGTTATTCAATCCCCTTTTTTGCTGTTACATTATTTTTAATGTTCCTGTCACCAACGTTTATAACAAAAACAATTTGACTTGAAGTACACACTTCTCCAAAACAGAGGGCGCTAACACATTAGCCGTGTAACCAGAGCTTTCCAAAAGCTCTAGCTGCAGGTGTTCTGTCAGTATGTGCTACTAATCATCAAGATGTGCTACTCAGGGGTTGTTCAAATGCAGACTGCATGTTCCTATTATTTAAAAGAGCTAATTGTTCAGAAATCTTAAAGATGTGATTGTGCATTTATTACATTTTTATCCTCCACAAGCATGACAAAAACACCCGTTTAAAATCCTTAAAGATTGAGGAGATGCATAAACCTTTGTGTGATATAACTCTATGAAAAACAGACATCTGTAAAGGGATTGGCATCTTTTAACAAGGTAGCGTAGGTCATCAGAACATCGACCAGACATCCACTACACTACTACTACAAAACAGTTTGATAAAACAACTTCTATTAACCCTGAATGTACATTTGACAATCACTTGTCTCCGCTGCAAAAACAAAGCATGCCGATACTGAAACGTGCCCATCCCTCTGTGAGCGTATCAAACCTCACTCTTCAAACCAATAGGGAACATTACTGTACATTTTTTAATATATCCATACTTGGAAAACATTGGCTGTAGCAACCTTAAAACTGCATCGACTGAAAGAGCGTTTTTCCAATCTACACCACTTAGATCTACACTTATGTATCGGCTTCATGAGTAACTTGTTTGGGCTTTGGGGTGACCCCTGACCTGCAGGCTGTTTTTTTTTTCAACTTGCTTATAGCTTGTCTAACAGTCACTGCAATCAATTTGGAAAAAAGATGCATAATTGTCCATGAGACATCATTAACATGCTTTAAAAATGTCATCAGTCAATGTAAGAAAAGGTAAGAAACGATTAAAAGTAAACCATCCAAATCCGTGTCTCAGTGTTTGTATTTGAGGACAAAGAAGAAGAATCCGTTCAGAAGAGTAACAACTGGATCTCTGTGATGTGTGTATAATGATGTGGTTTCACTTTGAGAGTGGAACGGATGGACTGAGGGTATAGCGATAGACAGATTAATTAAAATATTTAGCTAACAACATCCTTATTTACAAAAATACATCCATCTTTTTTTGTTTCCGTGTGTGTCACAGCAAACAGAGCACAGAGTTCAGCAGCCAGCAGCTCTCAGACAGGAGACGCCTTAGGGAAAGCACTCGCATCCGTAAGTACAGCTCACACACACACACATACAAACAAACACAAACACACACACACATACAAACAAACACAGATGTAAGAGACCTACATCCTGATTTTTCAGAATTTTTAATCATCATCCATCTTCTGTTCAGGTCTTTTTAAGAATATTTATGAGCACTTTCTTTCTTTTTCAGATCTACTCTCCAGACCACACGAACAACAGCTTCTCGTCCAATCCCTCCACTCCAGTCGGCTCCCCTCCCTCCCTCACAGGTAGCACATGACACTCACCCTCCAGTCACAACACACACACACTTCAGCAGATGGGGGAAAAAACAGCAGAGCTGACTTGGACTTGTTTGAAGACTTGACCTGACCCTAGTCTTCTTTCAGATTAGAGGAGACTCTAAATGAACTTTTCATAGGATTTAAAATAATCTAGGTGACTTTTGACTTGACTTCAGCACTTCTCCAAGGACTTGTGACTTGACTTGACTTGACTTGACTTGACTTGACTTGACTTGACTTGACCTTATTAAAATGAAATATTATAATGAAGTCATGACAAGTGTTTTGAGACTTGAATGTGTTTAAATTGACTTGTGACTTATCTCAAAACTGGTTTCAATTTTCCATCAAGACTTGACCTCCTTGGGCGCTGGTGGCGCACTGACGACCTCCTTTACTTTAAAGTAATTATAAACTGGCTAGAAACTTGATTCAAACTGGTTTGAATGACACTTGGGCTTGAACTGGTGTCAAATAACTTAAGACAAGATATGGACTAGTTTTAAATGATACAAAAACTGTGTTGATCTTTTTACTAAGGACAAAATCTTGACTTCAAATTACTTAAGATGTGACATGGGATTGTTTCCAAGGACTTGAAACTTGACCTGGACTATTAAGACTTGCAAAAATATTTTTCCTAAACACTTGTTGTAGGACGTTTAACTGAAACTGGCAGAGACTTGACATGAAATTTGAGTCATGACTTTGGAACTTGACTTAAGCTCATCAAATGACTTGAGACTTGTCTTGAACAGATTTGAACTGACCTTTGACATACATTGAACTTGTTTAAATGGTTGTGACCTAGCTTGAACTATTGTCAAGGGACCAAAGACTTGACTAGAACTTCTTCTGAATGACTTGACACTTGTGACTACACAGATGTCAAACAACCTGAGATAACATGTGGACTATAAAAGATGTGAGTTTCTCCACTGGAGATGGTTTGAAAAGACTTGACACTTCAGCTGAACAACTTGACACTTGGACCCAACTGCTGTCAAGTAGTCTCAAGGTTGAGTAGTCTCAACCTTGAGACAAGATGTGGACTTTGTAAATGATGCAAGATGAGACCTGATTTGAACTGGTTTATAATAACATTAAACTCAACATCTGATTGTTTTAAATTACCTCAGACCAAACTTGAACTTGTTTCAAAGCACATAAAACATGATTGGACTTGTTTCAAATGACTACAGAGACCAGACGTAGAATAAACATTAGCAGGAGCTGGTGACTGGTTTTTAATGACTTGAGCCAGACTAGGATTTCAGACTTTAAACTTGATTGTAAAACTGCAAAATAAAAGTGGGAATTAAAACAAAAATTCATCAAAACAAAGTAAAAACAACATTAAACTTCAGCATTGTAGTTTTATTTTTTAATTTAAAGGAGCTCGTACTTTTAAAGTGCAATAACTTAACATAAGAAGAAACAATAAGAAAGCATTATGCTGCGTCTCCCCCCATCCCCCTCCTCATCCTCCTATTATTTCCTCCAATTACTCCTCCTCCAGGCTAATATTGTAAACTCTCCCTGCTCCTTAAAGTGAAAAATGACTTTTCCTAATAATAGTTGTGGTCGTATTTGTCTCTAATTGTCGCCGCTACACACACCGTTTGATATTTCTGTGCCGCGCCTTGTGACTGATAGCTTTAATTACGAGCGCCACTTCGAACAAATCGCTCACAAACCTACCGGCTCTGCAAACAACGAGGCCCCACTCCCCTCTTTCTTCTC